AGAGAAGTACTCCAGGTATCCTTGATTCATTTTTCCCTTCAATTTATCTCTCTGTTTTCTGAAAAATGATTGATTAAATTATAAAGCAATGTATGTTCACTATAGAAATATCAGAAAATGCAGATGAATTTTGAAAAATCTAAAATTTCTGCCATGAGGATAAATCAGTGCTAATTACCAGACCTGTTTCTGTTGTATATCTTTCCAAAGATATTTTATTGGAAAAAGTTGGGGGAGAGGAATGTGAGATGTGGAGAGAGATAGAGACATGTCTTTAAAATAAAATCTAGATCATTTTGTGATCTTTTTCTGTATCCAAAGTTTTCTGCTTAACATATACTCCATATCAATTAATTCACTTCTCTATAGCATTATTTTTAGATTACAGCATTATTTCTTTCTATGTAGATGTATTTAATCAGTCATTTATTACTGGATAATGAAGACTGTCTCCAAATTTTGCTATTGCGAACAGTACTGTGATGATCATGCTCTTCATCTAGTCACTACTGTCTTCATCTGTTGAAACATTTGTAATGATTTCCTTCTGACTTATTTTATTTTATTTATTTTATTTTATATCAGCCATTCAAGATCCTAAACAATGATGATATCACTAGAAGAATCTTATCCCAAACAGTAAAAAATAGAAACAAATTAGCATTTTCTATTTGTAAGAATCTTAGTTACCAAGCCTTTATGTCAAGGATGTTCATTGTAATTAAAACCTTATTACTTTAGAAATATGGAAATGCCCCCTTATTTTATATAAGTCAAATCTTTTACTGTCTCCTGATCATACCAAGCTTAGCTTCCCACTTTTGAAAATCTGTGTATCTTTTGATACAGTATTCTTCCCTCCATCTCTCCAAAGACTCTTTAACACAGCTGAAGACCCGGGTCTACTAGCGAGCTTCCAAAAGCAATCCAAATCACCTTGATATTTTTAAATTCCTTGCAATGGCATAAAATAAACCTCCCTCCTCCCTTGGTCCTTCCCTCCTCCTTATGCCAGTATCATGAAGGGAGAATTGTTAAGAGACACTACCTAGGTGTGGTATCATTTATTGCTAAATAGTTATAAAATCTGTTAAATAATTTTAATCATTGAAGATAGGAATGCTCTTTTAGCATAATAGCTCTAAGGTATTATACCAAAAAGAAATAGCATCATTATAATTAAGTTTAAGAGAGAAATATTGATTTTTCATGCATACTAGAAGGAAAACTTTGAAGGAAATTATATTTTTCAGTGGCTTTGTTTTTAGTTGATTAACAGAAAAGTCATCTGCTCCTTACTTATGTCCAATCACAGAGTTGGAATGCACCTGTTCTCTATTCCTGAGGGAGTCAGCCAACTCTAAAACAGCCTGATCCTCCCCTCAGCAAAACTTCAAGAACAGGAGTCCCTGACAAGCAGCTGACATTTGAGGCCACACACACACAAAATTACTGCTAGGGAGGAAACGTGTTTATTTCTGTTAGAAGAGTTGATGGGCCGCAGAGAAAAGGCAAGGGGGGATGGAGATACTGCAGAAAGGGATTAAACAGCTTAGACATGATAAAGAAGGAGTAGAGGACAAGGACTCATCCATGTGGGACATCCTCTGAAGGCTTAAGAACAATATTGGGGACACATTCCTCCCAAGGCCTGATAATGTGGCTTCACTTCTGGGAGTAACCGGGAGCAGAGGAGGAAAATCAGGAACAACATCCAATTTCTTTCCCTCTCCCTTTCACTCCCGACTGCAAATTCTATGCAGCTTTGTAATAACTACCTAAATTCTGTAGGGAAGCCGTTAGCCTTCCTTCATCAAGACCTAGTGTATATCCGATTCAAACTAAGATGATATTCAGCTGGGCCTCTACCAGCCTCAACAGTGTCTTTTGTGTGTGTGTGTGTGCGAGTGTGGATTAGAGAATGTCATTAACATTCTCAGATGTTAACTCTCTCTCAGGCAGAGAGAGTTCACAGGCTCATGGCTTGTGATGAGCCAAGGGGATGACCCTATCCTCCCAGTAGGTGTGAATCACTCCAGGGTATCCAGGTGGCTGAATGAAGCCCAGGGGGCATTTCAGCCCTCCTTGTCTATTGACAGGATCCCATGATGCAGGCAGGGCTCAGCACACACAACCTGGTGTCCGTCAGGTAAAATCTGCTTTCTCACCTATTGAATATGGAGTATTGTGCCACTTGTGTTGAGCAACAGAATATGGTGGAGGTGATGTTCTGTGACTTCTAAGACTAGGCGTCAGGAGACTTTATACATTCTGTGTTTAGTCTTTGGGAAAGTTGCTTCTTCATATCATGAAGAAGCCTGAAATGGAAGACCATGGGGAGAGAGAGAGGCCCAAATGTCCCAGATGCCCAGTTGAGCTCAGACCCCAGCCATCCATCAGCTAAATGCAACTCTGTGTCGGAGCCCAGGTAGATACCAGCTGAAGAATCACCTCAGTCAGTCAGTCATTTCAGTCGTTCAGACATGTCTGACTCTTTGTGATGCCATGGACTGCAGCATGCGAGGCTTCCCTGTCCATCACCAGCTCCCAGAGCCTACCCACACTCATGTCCATTGGAGTCGGTGATGCCATCCAACCATCTGCTCCTCTGTTGTCCCCTTCTTCTCCTGCCTTCAATCTTTCCCAGCATCAGGGTCTTTTCTAGTGAGTCAGTTCTTCACATCAGTGACCAAAGTATTGGAAGGGGGAGTTTTTTAATTTATTTAACGATTTCCTCTAAATTTGGTCTCTCAACAAGAGCAAGCACCTTTTATTTTATGTTTGTGCTCCCTTTGTACTCTCTCTGATCATACACAGAAAACTTCGGACACACAAATTTTGGATTTATTGGAATTTTGAAGTCTAAGCTTAAAATGACTGTACAAAACATATACCATAACTATATATTTTAAAGAATATGTGCTCAGTCAAAGACAGTTTTCTCTTCCCCATCCCAAATCTTAATAAAATGTGTGCAGAGTGAGGAAAGAGAAGAGACTCGAGGTGGGCTGGGGATGAGGGCATTGAAAGGATGCTTGAGAAGAAGTCCTGTAACCTCGCTGTGCAGGGATGCCGTATTGCTCAACTGCATGGGCCACCATTCACAGAAGGATGTGCAGAATAAGATGTGCAGGAATGCAGACTTGACACTAAGAACTAGATTGCTGAGGGAACTCTGAGAGCAGAAAAGAAGCTGGGCTCGTAGGCTCTACCGTGGAGAGCAGAAAGACCCTAAGTTTATTCCTTACCTAATGTTGAGTGAGAACAGAAAACGTTTCCAAAAGGCTTCCTGAGGCAGTCAGATGTAGGACAGCCCCAAAGCCCTCTCCTGCCCCAGAAAGATTCAGAGGCCACAGAACATTTTTCAGTGTAAGTAAGAATGGATGTGAGAAAGAAATTATCCTTACTTAGGTATAGTCATGGAAAGGGCTTTCCAGGCGGCTTAGTGGTAAAGAATCTGCCTGCCAATGCAGGAGACACCAGTTCTGTCCCTGAGTCAGGAAGGTCCCCTGGAGAAGGAAACGGAAACCCAGTCCAGTATTCTTGCCTAGAAAATCTCACGGACAGAGGGGCCTGGAGGGCTACAATTCACGGGACCAAAAAAAAAGTCAGGCACGACTCAGCAACTCAATAATAACAGACATGGAAAAATAATTTTACGTTGCTTATTATGTATCTGATTCTTGTCTTCAGAACTAGCATCCACTACAACGACTTCATAGTAATAAGCATAAAATGATGCAAAAGAAATCCATATTCAATGTTCAGCCTCCATGGGATTTTCTTTGGTCTCTGATGTTACAAAACTGTATGCTGTCATTGCCAATTCATATCACAAAGTATGTTATTCACAACTCCTGTCTTTTATAAGCTTTCTTCAGTGATGATGATGATGATGTACATCCCTTCACAGTAAGTTTTTCCATTTCCTGAGATAGCATTTCTCTCTCTTATCCCCACCCCCCCAAATAAAAGAGAATGATGGACAGGAAACCACGTATGAAGTGAGTGAGAGGAGATAATGGGGCAGGAATCCATAAGTCTGTGGTTTATGTCACGAAAAAACCCTGCTAAGTGCTGTGGATGATAAGGAATTTGCTTATAATCTGTTGCAGTGACTTGATGTTCTTGCACTGAAAACATTTTATCTCCTATTTTAACCTGCAATGTGGGGACAGGATAGCATTTACTCAGTAATAGTTTTGTACCAGGAATTGTTCCTACATTATCTAATTGAGTCTCCATAAAAGCCCTGTTGTCTTTCAGGTGGGGAGATCTCGGGAAATAGCTCAAAGATGCACAGGTGAGAGAGCTGGATTTAAAAGCAGGTCTGTCAGACCCAAATATCTGTGTTCAATAAACTACATCATATGGGAGAAGTTATAAAATCATTTTGCCTCGAATCCAAGGGTGAATAGCTCAGTATCTTTAGCTTGTATTTAAGCATTCATTAACAGTTTCTATTATTAAAGATAAGAGTCTCTCTTACTTTTAAGTGATACATATACTTTAGTTGCAAGTGAAATACTTATACTTTTGGACCAATGATTCTTAGCTAAATCTATCTATTCTCATAAAGTGAGAAGATACAATAAAATTCATCAATATAAAAAATTAAATTGTGAATTTTGTAACCTAACTGTATTGGACCCCATATAAACACACTAGACAGATGGAATTGCAGTGTATGGACTGTGTTTAAGGGATCATTCTAGAAATGTGTAATATAAAACTATTCAGTGAAAAGTTACAACAAAATAAAAATCCTCATGCAAAAATGTATTTTACAATATCTCAGTGAGTTTTCAAAATAACCTTTCATTTTTAAAGATTGTCTAAAGCAAAAGTCCTGGGACAGCCTGTCAGTTGGTTTTATGGAATTTGACCCCTTGTAGCGTCACAAAATAAAATGAACTAGACTGACTAGTTTTGCCATCTTTTTAATAGTACTTAAACGCTGCCATAGTCTCATAGATATCAGGAAATAATGTTCCAGACCACAAAAAAGTAGATGATTATAAATGACTGAACAATATATTAGTTTTAAAACATTTTTTTAGATATAACAATTGCAGTAATTGTGTAGACCTTTGCTTTTTATTGTATATGTTTTTACCAAATATTGAACAGTTTCAAAAGAACATTTATTAAATATGTGTAATATATAAAGAATCACAATGCAATGAACAACTCTCTACCCACCACCTACTTGAAGAGAAAGAATATTACTTTCACATCCCCTGTGGGACCCTGTCAGGTCTTAATCAAAGCTTTGAATTTTGTGCTAATTATTGTCCGGCTTTTCTTTAGTTTTGCCTCATATGTTTATATGCCTAAACAAAATACTGGTTAATTTTGTATACATTTTTGAACTTTATATTTTATGGAAATATAGGTGTAAGATTATGCCAATTTTTTTGCTGTGTAGACAAGATTCTTAGGTATTTTTGCATATAGCTATAATTAATTTTCACCCTGTATCAGGATAATCCATTCTGCTCTTGATAAACATTGGAAAAATCTCCAAGTGCACATAAGAGAGAGAAAGAGATCACAGTCTTTTAGTTTCCTTATGGTACATGTGAAAGAGCTTCTTTTGAATAAACATCCAGGAGTAAAATAGCTGGGTTACAGAAAATTTACCAGATAGTGCCCCATTGTTTTTCAGAATGGTTATATAATACATCCCTATGGCTCCTTTACTGAACTATACATACACATATAATTTTATGTATGTATGCCTATGTATATAATATATATAACTTTTTAATATATAGTACTTCTTTTTTGAAAATAATTTTATATATTAGAAATCTAAACAACAGTATTAGTGCTGCTTTTTTAAAGAACCAAGAATTGTGAAAGATGTGGTTGATTGGGAATTTTTGTTATTAGTTGCCAGGAAACAAAATATTAAGGAAAAAATGGGAAGAATGTTTTAGTTATGTCTTAGCAGATGGAAAAACAAATGTATTTATCTTTCACTTGCCTTCTATTATACTACTGATGCCTTCGTTTCTGGGACTGAAATAGGCATTCACTCTGCTCTCAATCTTGGTCTTTGGTCTAAAGAAGTGCAAGGGCTGATTGCTGACATTCAAAATAATGTGTTATGCAAGAAACCAATTTCAGGGATGGAAGGAAAGCTGTACTTCTTTAACTATAACTCCTAAAAATCATTGGAATGGGAACACTGGAAAAGAGTTCAATATCCATTTGTCTCTTCCATAACTTTTTTCGTGCATTTTTTTCTCTTGTGGCAGTTCTCTACTTTAAGTTGAAGAGGGTTCATTAACTGTCCAACTGAGTATATTTCAAATACCCTGAAAGTTTAGACCTTACTTAACTAAAATTCTTGGAGTATAATACCACCAGAAGCACATGCTTCTCATTTATATCTAATAATTTTTTTTTTTTAATCAGTGCAAGCCTGTAAAAGCCTATTGTTCTATAGAAGAAACATTTTGTAAAATTCCCCCCCCCCAAATTTTCTTTTCATTCTCTTTGTGTTGACAGTCTACTTTTCAAAACTTTCTAATCTTCTAAGAACTCCAAATTATTTAAATTAGAATCAAGCAAATGGTAATAGTATCTTGAAGATTCCTTGAGCGGTATCCTCCCAGATCTTCTGCTCAGTTGATTAATGCGTGCACCCTTGATGGTCTCCTGTACCAGGATGAGAAAGCTGCAAAGCCCTATTTTGAAATGAAGGTACAGTGGTTTAGGTAGTTCATAATGGGTTCATTCCAGTGGGGCAATGTACTCAGTAATATACGTTACTGTCTAATGTATTCCTAAAAAGCCTTTGTAATATGCTTTATAAATACTAAATAAGTAAACAGTTATTAATAAGAAATCATTGCTATTAACCTAATGAGGAATAACTGGACATTAAATATCATGATAAGAAGCATATCAAAGGTCTCTTTGTGATCCCATAGACTGTAGGCCACAAAAATTAAATGGAGAATCGCAGAAATTTTTTGAGATTTCTAAGCAAAATATATATGGGCCCAAAATTATTTGGTTGATGAAGGGCTACTCAGTGCAGAGATGCTTTCTAACCTACCATCTAATATTGCAGTGCAAGCATATCAGCCATTAAAAAAATCAAACATCCTAAGCTGAAATAATACTACTACTAAGAGGGAATAGTAACAAGTGTGTATTATGTATACTAAACATTTTACACACCTTATTTCATTTAATTTGATCAAAAGCCCTGTGAGGCAGGTAGTAGTATTACCATGTTTCAGGTGAGGAAACTGATATTTAGAAGATTATGTAGGCTACAAAACTATTGAGCAGCAGAATGAAGATTCAACCCTTGTAAGCTGTTACAGAAGCTTTCATCCTTAATCACTGTGTAATTTGGAATACTCTAATAATATGTGTTTTCCATTAGTAGCTTCCTTCTCACAGCTAAGAACTCTGATGGCCCAAACAGTAGGTGTACACACTTATGTCTGAATGAAATGCCTACTTTGTATGCTGTGCTGTGGGGAGTGATAAAAGAACTTATTCAAAGATCTTACAGCATTGATGGGATAGATTGTAAATGCAAATACATATAGTCAAAAGCAAAATATGGCATGTGCCATAAAAGACATATTGTAGTGATGCACAAAGGAAAGAAACTCTATTGGTTAAGAGGGACAAAATGTGTCTTTGTAAAGCAAGTGATACGAATCTTTTGAGATGCGGTGAAGTACAAAGTCAAGATTTTGGACAAAGCAGGCCCTGAAGCCAAAAGTTTAAGGCTTGTTGTAGGCACACCCTGTTCTATTTAAAGGTGGTTGGGCTCCAACAGGTTTTGTATAAAGACTTAGCTGTTGGGGAAAAGAATTTGTGCTAAACTATTAGACAGGGAGGGTCATGAAGGTTTGAAGCAGGAAGGATATCATTCATTCAACAACTATTATGAATATTTGTCAGTATGTACCAGGCACTCTGCTAGTCACTAGAGTAAGACCAGACCATTGTTTGCCCTTGATGGGCGTCCCTGTTGATTCAGATGTTAAAGAATCTGTCTGCACAAAGGATTAATCTCAAAAATATATAAGCAACTCCTGCAGCTCAATTCCAGAAAAATAAATGGCCCGATCAGAAAACGGGCCAAAGATCTAAACAGACATTTCTCTAAAGAAATGAGAGAACAGCATCGAAACATGTATATTATTAAGGGTGAAACAGATCACCAGTCCACGTTGGATACATGAGACAAGTGCTCGGGGCTGGTGCACTGGGAAGACCCAGAGGGATGGGATGGGGAGGGAGGTGGGAAAGGGGTTCAGGGTGGGGAACACATGTAAATCCATGACTGATTCATGTCAATGTATGGCAATAACCACTGCAATATTGTAAAGTAATTAGCCTCCAACTAATAAAAATAAATGGGGAGAAAAAAATAAGAATCTGTCTGCAATGCAGATGTGGATTCAATCCCTGGGTCAGGAAGATCCACTGGAAAGGGAATGGCAACCCACTCCAATATTCTTGCCTGAAGAATTCCATGAACAGAGGAGACCGAGTGGGCCACTCTCCATAGGTCACAAGGAATCAGCCATGATTGAGTGACTAACACTTTCACTTTCATTTCCTGCCCTTGACAGGCTAATGGGGGAGAAAGAGGCTAATTTTCACTATAACTGAAATAGTGATGACTTGTATACAAAACAAGAAAAAAGACTCGAGCAGAACCTAATTTTAATGCTTTGGTTTGTATTTTCTCTATTAATTTTTAAAAAATAATTTTAGAATCTATCAAAATTTATTTTAAATAGTATTATATAATTATCTTCTTCTATTTTTAAAAAGTGTTTATATAATAGATGTGAACTTCATTGAGTATATTCACAGACATGCAAAATATTTTCTTGATAATGGTGTCTAATAAAGGGGATTTTTTTTGCTAGTAAAGGATTTTCAAAATACATCTCTACAAGTATTAAAATTGCTATTTGATCATTTAAAGTATATCATTCCATGTCATAACTCTGTAAGATAAATTTCAGAAAGACTAAGACCAATTTTTATAGATAGGTTTGTTATACAATACAAACTGCTACTGTGACTAAATAGATATACATGTTGAAGGGGTGTCTTTGGAACTTCTAAATTTGACTCTGATCCCTCTGAACATAGCAGCAAATCACAAGGTTTCGAATTGGAAAATTTTGTAATGGCCAAAAAAATATTACAAATATAGGAAAATCAGTTTTAAAGGAGGTCAACAGGAAAAGTATATAAAACTGACAGTCCAACTATGATCAAACGCCTTTATGAAAAAAAATTTTATGGTAAGACCTACTTCTATTAGAAGTTTTTATAGGCTTAGAAATGTAAAACTCAGATGTTTTTGAAACTGAGAAAGTATAAAAGACTACTGAATTTATCCTGAGGTAATAATATCTCAGGAGAAAATTGCAGTAAGGCAAACACTCTAAAACCATCAAATAGGCATTAGGACACAGACTGATATGTGAAGGTAGTGATGAGGAAGCATTAGTTAAGAGTAAGAAAATCAGACTGCAGCCAAACTTTCAGAAAAATTTTAAAGGAATATATTGATGTTTAGCTTCCTTTAAACATCTCAACACATGATATTGACAAATGTGGAGACAGCTGGCAAACTGTGTTAATTGCCAACATTATATAATTACTATTTACTATAAAATTCCCTCAAATAATTTTCTTTCATCATCAGATAGTCATATACATCTAGCATTCTTCATGCTTTGAAATATATATATATATTCTTTCTCTTTTCAGGATCAAAATAGACATTTTCATGTTCCCTACTATATCTACTTTAAGATAGTATAAATATTGAAGATTTTGTTTGCTGAAATAAATTGTATTCTCATGAGAGAAAGAGCTCCTCAGCAAAACCTTTTTTTAAAATTTTTCCAATGATATTTGGAAATACCATTATACCAATGATATCAAATATCAAATACCAATAATCTTTTATTCCACTATTCATTTGTCCTGAAATTTCACAGCAGCAGAAATTCCACTATATATTATCCTTTTATCTGATATCTATCAAGAATATCTTTGGGGCCTCCCTGGTGGCTCAGAGGTAAAGAATCCTCCTGCCAATGCAGGAGACAAGGGTTGGATCCCTAGTCCGGGAAGATTCCACATGCCACAGAGCAACTAAGCCTGCGCACAGATACTAAAGCTTGTATACTCTAGAGCCCATGCTCTGCAACGGGAGAACCCACTGCAATGAAAAATCCATGCACTGCAACCAAGAGCAGCCCCTGCTCACCGCAACCAGAGAAAGCCTGTGGGCAGCAACAGAGATCCAGCACAGTTAAAAAAATAAAAATAAAATTTAAAGATATCATCTTTGGTTGCAATTTATCAAAAATATCTAATAGTGACTTAACAAATAGTGACTTTTTATTTTTCTGATGTAACAAGTCTAGAAATAAATGGTTACCATCTTTGGCTTGGTTATTCAACAGTATAATCAATAACACTTTTTTTTATTTTTCTGCTCCACAATCTTTGGCATGTTGACTTTGCTACCCCTACTTGTCAAATCAGGGTCACAAAATCAAAATGGTCACTGCCAGCCAGCACTTAAGCCAGAACAGGATGGTGAAAGCGGCTCCCAGCTATTTGTGTCTTTTTGTCAAAAAGGTGAAAGCTTCTCAAGAAGCCCCCCACAGGGACTTCTCCTTATGTCTCAAGAACACCACAAGTTTCAAAGGGGGCTGGGAAAGCAGGAAACAAGATTCTCATGATTGACTTAGACCACTGTGAGACACTGCAAAGGTGAATACATTGACACTTCAAGGAAAATCATAAACCTTTCAGTAAAGAAGGGAACAAAAAGGGCCTGTTCAAATGCTCTAGATCATTTGGACGAATGTAAAATTCTTAAAGACTGGGATTGTGTCTATTCTCTTCCCTCTGTATGGGACCTACATCATAACAAAAATAGTTGACACTAAATCTTTTATTAGATATAGACATTCATATGATATAGATATATACACTATATTCTATATACTAAGGCAGTATCTCCAAATCTCATTCAGTTGTTCTAACAGTAGAGGTACTATACAAAACTTTGTTGCTTTTGTTATTTTTCAATCACTAAGTTGTGCTGGGCTCTTTTTGACCTCATGGACTACAGCACGCCAGGCTCCTCTGTCCTGCACTATCTCGCGGTGCTGGAGGTTTATATACATGTGTGTGTGTGTGTGTGTGTAGTCTTAGCTCAGCTTGCTATAACAAAACATAGGCTGGGTGACTTAAATAGCAGCCATTTATTTCTCACAGTTCTGAAGGCAGGAAACTCATGATCAAGGTGTTGCTGGAGTCGATTCCTGCTGAGAATGCATTTTCTGGTGGCAGATGGCCCGCCACCTTCTTATTGTGTCTTCATATAATGGTGAGACAGTGCTCTGGTCCCTCTTCCTCTTCTTATAAGGACAATGATCCCACTGAGAGGGCCACATTTCATGACCTCATCTAAACCTAATTATCTTCCAAAGGCCCTACTTCTAAATATCATCACACTGGAGGTTAGAATTCCACCTGTGAATTTTGTGGGAAGGATAAAAATGTCCAATCCATAGCATGTATATGAAATATACAGTATTGCATATATAATTACATATTGGGTTGGCCAAAAAGTTGGTCAATCCAACATAATATTACATAAGATATGTAGATT